GCCCCAGCACACACACACACACACACACACACACACACACACACACACACACACACGGTAGCTCATCACTGGAATTCCAGTTCCAGGGGATCTAACCTTCTGGCCTCCATGTGCTCCAGGCACATGGGATGTACAGACATACATGTGGGCAAAACATACACATAAAATAATAAAATAATATTAATCCGGGCTGGAGAGATGACTCAGCTGTTAAGAGTACTGTCTGCTCTTCCAGAGGTCCTGAGTTCAATTCCCAGCAATCACATGGTGGCTCACAACACATAGGGCACTCATATACATTAAATAAATGAAATCTTTTTTTTTGGTTTTTCGAGACAGGGTTTCTCTGTGTATCTCTGGCTGTCCTGGAACTCACTCTGTAGACCAGTCTGGCCTCGAACTCAGAAATCTGCCTGCCTCTGCCTCCCTAGTGCTGGGATTAAAGGCATGTGTCACCACTGCCCAGCTTACATAAAATCTTTTAAAAATATATTAATCCATATGTTTTTGAAGCTGTACTCGGCGGCCCATGCCTGGGGCTTGCTGGCCAGCTAGTTTAGCCTAAGTGGTGATCTCTAAGGGTCAGTGAGAGATCCTGTCTCAAAAAATAAGGCAGAGAGCAATGAAGAAGGACACTCAAAATCAGCCTCTGCCTGCTACATATTCATACATACGCACAAGAGCGCACATACATGAACACACACATACACATACAACACACACATACACACACAGAATATTTTTCTTGTTTCATGATGTTAAAAAAGGTTCAGAAGAGAGAAGGGAGGTGATGTGTACATCAGGGTAACTGAATCGAGGAGACCTTGCAGTCGAGACCTGGGGATGGCTGCATTTAATTTCCCAGATGCAACAGAGCCCCAGGAGCCTGTGTGGTGGTGTACACTTGTGATCTCAGCGCCGGGAGATGAAGGCAAGAAGATCAGGAGGAGTTCAAAGACAAGAAACAGGTTCTGAGCAACTGGGAGAACCTGGGGTCATAAGAACATCTGGCCAGGAAGCTGTAAACGCACACTCCCACCATCCAGCAAGCTCTTGCCCTTAGTAGATTTTCAGGGGAAGACAAAAGAACCCTTGGTAGGTTGGCTATAATCTGCCTACCCTAAAAATTGATTGGTCGCCTTCTTTTCCTTAGAGATCCAATCACAGACCAACAGGATAGTAAGGTCAGAACAATAGAGATTCTCTTATCTCATTGTGCAGACAGTAAACGGAGGGTGAAAGGAGAGAGGTAGGTGCTATGGGGCTCTCAGTTGAACCAGAGTCATTCCTAAAATGTCTCTAGGTCTCTGGCCACTCAAGAACTAGGAAAGAAGTCCATGGGCATTTGTCCTGACTAGTTCTTTGAGTAAGATTATGGCCAAACAGGTTGAGCTAACAATGGAACCACAGACATCACCCTAGTATACTAGGCAGACAGCGAGGCAAGCCCCAAGCAGAAACATGAAAAGTCAAGCAACTGAGCCATTAAAGTGAGTGACTTGTGGCTGATTTCTGTTTCTGCTAAGCTTGGCTTCAGTATTCCAGAGTGAAATGTCGCATCAGAGAGCAGGCAAGTTCTTCAGTGTGTTCTATAAGTGGAAGGCAGAACAAAAGAAAAAACCCAGGCTGCTTGGACAAAGGTGAATTCATATTTATAACACGTTTTCTCTCTTTTTTTTGCCACAAATTAACATTAAATACAACTAAACACACTTATTATCCTATAGACTTGTAGGTTAAGAGTCCAGCCCAATAATGTTGGACTAACAAGGCATTTGCCATTGTCAAGATTTTCTGACATATTTTGCTTTTTTTTTTCTTTTAAAGTCTTACTGGCCGAGACTGACCTTGAACTCACAGTCCTCCACTCCTTTTATTTTGTATACTTTCATGTGTTGCATGTTACAACATACATGAGAGGTGAGAGACAGTTCCCTCCATTCATCATGCAGGTTCTGAATATGGAACTCAGATGGTCGCAGCCACATTAACTTGCTGAACCATCTCACTGGCCCACAACTCTGGAGTGCTGGGATTATAGATGTGCACAGGCAAGCCAGCTTGCAACTAACCACACTCATAGTCAACTTGATTTATTTAACATGTCCTTAGTGATCAGCACCCAGACCAAGGAACACTGCCTTGGAGCCTGAAGTATGGCTCTCTGGTCCGGTGCAAAATATTTCATACCTGTTGCTCAGCAGCGTCTGCATGTGGACATTGAATATTACTGATGAGAATTGAGAAAACCCAAGCAATGTTTGTGCATTTATTCAACAAATCCATTCTGGCACCTGTCCTGGAAAGGATGCCAGGGAAGATGGAATGAATTGATTTAATGGTGGCCCTTCGGAGGCAACTCTGTGGGGGTCGTGAGAGAGAGAGAGGGGTTGTGAAGTTGGCTAAGGACACAATGCTTTCGCCAAACTCCTCAGAAGGCTCCTCAAGAGAGGGAGACCCAAAGGTGATTATGGTGTTGCAGCAGTAAGGGTTTCAAGCAACAGCCTGGCAGTAAGGGTTTGTAGGCAGTGATTCGGTTTCCCTGGAAGCAAAGAAGGGTACCACTGCCAGTTTCTGAGACCTCTCACATGCTGTCTGATGGCCAGTCCCTTCCCTCATCCTCACAGACAAACTCCAACTCTCCAGACTCACAGCTGGTCGCCTCAGCCTTTCCACTGCACCATCATTAACAGATGGGGACCACAGGCCCAGGGGAGAGAAGACAAAGGCCATTAAGTCCTTCTGTACGTACCTTTTTACAAAGTCCCTCCTGTGCCTGACTCTAGGACAGTGGTTTGCATCCTGTGGGTCATTTCAATCCCTATTGTGGGGTTCAATGATCCCTTAATGGGGGTCATCCTAGACCATTGGAAAACACAAGTATTTATATTATGATTAGTAATTAGCAAAATTAGTTATGAAGTGGCAATGAAAGTAATTTATTGTTGGGGCTCACCACAGCATGAGGTAATGTATTGAAGGGTCCCAGCACTGGGAAGGTTGAGTACCCACTGTCCTAGGACCATGGAATTAGACTCAGGCCCTACCCTAAGGATGTCAGGGGAGCCGTACAAATCTCCAGGTTAGGCTTGAACAGTGTGCCAAAGCTGCCCATTTCCTGCTCTGGAGTGGTTTCCACACCTTGTGATCCCAACCCACTTTATTGCTGTTCCTCAGAGGCAATCTTCCTCGGCAGGCCTCTCTCCACTCTCCAGCACACAGCCTGCATTTATTGGGTGCTGGGAATACAGCTGTCAGAAGCCGGGCCTGAGGCATACATGGTGTCTTAGTTCGAGCTACCAGCGAAATGTAGGAGACAGGAGGAGGCTCAAACAATCGCTTCTCACCATTCTGACTGGGAAGCCCAAAGAAACGGTGCTGGGTGATTTGGTTCCCTGTGACACCTTCTGCAGCTATGCAATGTGGTGTCAGGAGGTGGTAAGGGTATTATGCAGAGAAATAGAATGGGAGGGGCAGGCAAGGTGTGGGTTTTTCAATTTTTTTGTTGTTGTTGTTGAGGAAATGCATTTGAGGACACTGGGATCCAAAGGAGATAGAAGACTGGGGAGAAGGATATCCCAGACAGGGTGAAGAGCAAGGGAAGACAGAACTTTTTATGCTTAGTATGACTGTAGGATTTGACACTGGAGATGCAGCTGGCTGAGACCAGCAGTATGTGGCCACCTACCCCGGTCCTGGGAAAGGACCACAGAGTAAGTTCAGAACGCGGCTTCTGGAGGCTGCTCCCTGGATTTTCCTCTTTTAGCACAGGGATGGATGCCCACTTGCACCTTGGCCTTCATTAGGATTTCATGCAAGCTGATCTTATCCAGCTCTGGCTTCTACATACCTAATCAGCACAGGAGCTAAGACTGGGGGCAACTCTCCAACCCCGTCCCCCAGTGTACAGCGGAGGAAACGGAGGCTTCCCACTCTGCACCGTGGCCCCCAGGAGACCACCTTTCGGAGGTGGTAACTTCTTGCTGAGTTCTGTGAAGCAAGTTTTTAAGCAGAACCTACTTGGAAGGTTCAGACAGAAATAAGCAGAGCTGGTGTGCTAGAGGCTCCAGGGAATGCACAGGGCGGTGACAAAGCGCAAAATCAGTGAGGCATAGAGGGGGCGGCTCAGAGGCGTGACTCTACCGGAGGGAGGTCGGGGGGCGGGGCAGGGTCGGGAGAAAGTGGACTCAGGGTCGGAAAACACGGGCAGCAGGGAAAGTCAGCAGGCCAAGGAAGGTATGGGAATGGGATGGGGAGGACGTCACGCGACAGGTTGGACGTTTGAACGCGGTGGGCGTTTGAAGTTGGCAGCAGCTGGCCGCAAGGAAGTAGGCGGGGCCAGGAGAAGGGGCAGGGCCAGGGACGACTCACAGCCTTGGCCAGAGATAGGGGCGGAGTTTTAGGAGTATGAGGCGGGGCCCCTGAGTGTCGGAGGCGGGGAAAGGGAGGTTTTAGGGGCGGGTCCGCGTCGGGGGCGGGGCCTGGGCGGTGTCGAGCGCGCGCGGGC